TTTAAAATTGTGTATTTCAGTGCTTCAGGTGTCTCCATACATTCAAATGGTAGAATTCTGTGCTGGGACTTTGAAAAGACAAAATCAGTAGACAAGCTGGGAAATTAATTTTGTTTCATAGGATTTGATGTTTGTGTGTACTTTTCTATTTGTGCAGAGCAATCTTTAATCAGTCGCATAGTGTTTCATTGAGTCCCTTAGTTTTAGGGCAGTCTTCAGATGATTCAGCATGGTGTAGGAAAGATCAGTATAGGGTACTTTCCTCTTCACAGAAATTAAAAGGCATGTATGTGAAATAGGCAGGAGACTCATAGAAGTGAGGAAATGGCTTCATGGTTAGGAAAATTGGCAATCATGAGAATGGGATTCTATCCCTGCTTTTGCTGACAAGTTCCTATTAAAGATGGCCAAATTACTTTGACCAAAATTTTCCATTGGCTACTAGATACTAATTTTTTGATTGTGTACATTGGGCAAGATTGGCAGAGTGCTCTCCTGACTGCAGTTTAAAGTCATTGATAGTGTGCTTTGGACATGTAAAACCCTATAGAAATGCTATGTAGTTAAGGAAAATCAGTAGTCTCATTTCTTCATTGAGGAACCCAAAATCTGTGGAAAGTTTAGCCATTTTTGCATATTATCTCCATGCCATAATAGGAGGGAAAAAGCCATTTCCCCAGTTAATTGCCCGTCTGAAGTCAATTAACATTTGTGAATCACATAGATAACTTTGATGAAAGCTCTAACTTACCCCAGAGGAATGTACTCATTTCCCTTTTTAGTGTAGTTTTGAAGCGTCATACTAAATATTAATCTTTTATTATAGGAAGTATGAGTACTGCAGAAAAAAAAAGTGATTATGAAATGAAAACCATACTCCAGTGTATTCTCATGATGGAGACAAATGAATTCCTCAATGGAGCTTTCAGTTCAGGAAACATTGAAATTAAGTGCTTGATTTCACTATCTGAAGAGGGTGTTCATTTTGGTTTGTTTAAGAATAGAGGGGGGAAAAAAGAGAAAGGCCTTTATTATATAAAATATATTTAGAAAGTGAGTTTCCTGTTGTCTAGGGTGGTAAAAAATACTTGATAGACAGATTCTGCATATTTGGGGTTCCTGACCAGGAATATCATACCTAAATTTGTTCCCATTAAAATCAATAAAATGTCTTGGATTGCCTGTAGAAATGTTTGTGATGTGTATTGCAACAAGTATTCAGTCTCCACAGGCAATCTGGGCCAATGGGATTGCAAAATATCTGTCAGCTTTGGCTGACAGCCTAAGGTTGCCACAGCAATTTTTCTCTTTAATGAGTAAAATAGGTGATGTTTATAGAAAATAACTGTCTCATGAGAAGCTGTGCAAAAAGTTCCATTCAAAACCATTCTGTTTATATATAGATTTGTTGTTTGTTTTCTTTTCTTTTTCCTTACTACTGTGGACATTTGCATGAAAACAGGATATTTCTCCTTCAAATTGCAGTCATGGACAGAATAGCTACTATGCCAAAATGGAGCCAACCCACTTCAAAAAAAGTAAACTATTTTGCTTACCAAATCTGTTTCTTCTGTGTATGCAAAGTTTTGAGCTCTTATTTTCCTACCTAAATTTAGAGGATGAGTTTTTTTGAATTAGTTCTGTATGACCAACAAAACAATATGGATGTAATGAAATGAGAATATGTTACTGCAAAGATTAAATCACTTAAAAATTACTGTCAATAACATTTATGTTTTAATATTTTTAGTGAAGCAGCAGGGATAACAGTATTTTTGTTATGTATACTGACTTTTATTTTTTAGAAACAGTGATAAATACTCAAGAGTAATAGATAGAAAAGCTCGGTCCTGTTTTGACTATTGATGATCAATAGAATTAATAAAGGCAAGGAACATCAATGGTCTTTCTTGTTGACAAATTTGACTTTTCCAGTCTCAGGCTGAATGTAATAGTCTACCAGTTAGATATACTTTTACTGACAAGTAGCATATTTTCTCTGGTTCAGCAATGTTTTATAAAGCCCTTAGGCATCCAAGGACAAATGAGTGTACATTAACACTCATGTTCCTATATGTATTTACAACACTTTACAGCTTAGTCCCTGGCTTCAGGTCCATCTGAGTGCCCAGGGAAAGCTCTCAACTGCCCAGATAGCTCTGTGTCATTTGTTTCGCAGGCAGGAATTAGTAGGAGAGTGGGTGTGGTGTGCTGCCAAATCCTCAGCCCCTGAAAGTCCTCATCCTCGCAATGTGGAAGGCAGGAGCATGAATCACTGAGCCTCCCAGATGGAGGCAGCTCCAGGTGGAGCTGTCTTAGCTGCTCTGTCCTGTAGAGGCTCGCTCACCCTGGACTTGGAGACCGCCCGCATTGGCTTGTGGTGCAGAGCATGCTTTTCCCGTTCCTCCTCCTCTCAGTCTAGGGTGGTTCTCTGAAAACTGATACCTATCTGTGCAAAACCCACTGCATAAAGCAGTCATCTGTTTGTACAACTGCAGGATTTATAGTCACTGTACTAGTAAGTAAATAATCCCTCTCTGGTTAATAGATGGAACACCAGGGTCGCAGGGCATGTGAACATAGTCCTCTGACTGTGAGGATTTCCAGAGAAATGAAGAGTGGACAGACTTCTGTTTGTACTACACAGATGAAGTTTTCCAATTCCAGGAGTGCCACTCCTTCCCAAAGCTATCTGCAAATCTTTTAGACAGTCTTTTGTTTCTCATTTGAACAAATAAGCATCCCACTGAGCTTTTCTAATGCAACCAGCCTGCATTTGGCTCTGACAACCCAAATAATGGATAGTATTTTTATCTTATTGGGTCCATATGAATTTGTGCTTTGCAGATAAAAAAATTATAAAAACTCTATAAAATACACCTCCCAGTTCTACCTGCAGATGTAAACTGCTTATTTTGGCATACCCCTTCATAGAGTCAGGGTCCATTTGCTTAGGCCAAATACTGTTTAAAAGTGACTGAAAAATACCAGGACTCAGGCAGTGGAAAGAAACATCAAGGGCTCTTTGAAGAAGTTAGTTACATTTGTTCCTACTTTATAGCTGCTCTATATGTAGTTTACACTTCCCAAATTTTTAGTTGTTTTTAGTTTGGGCAACTAGTAATGCATGTTCACATTGTCCTATTTATTTTTCATATTTGTAGTACTTGACGCAGGATTGTGGCTTGATGAAATGTTTGCAAAGTAATTCAGCATAAATGTGCCAGTTAGTTTCTTTGGTGTCTCGGTGATATTCAGTTCCCATTTAATTTGTTCAGTGCTGCTTTGGCAAACTGTTACAGATTTTAGCAGCAGGCAGTTCACGGTAATTATATAATATAATACACTAAGTAAATATATGATAACTGGGCAAATGTAAACCAAATAAGAAATGCAACCCAGGGGACTAACTGGGCTTGAAAATTTCGTGGATAAGCACAGAAGGTAAGCAAAGGAGTATAAGGAATAGGATAAGAATTTCTTAAAGCCTGGCTGCCACAAATATGTCAATGGAGCTGAGTCAGCATGGGAAGAACACAGTAATGTGCTGTTGATTCAAAAGCCAGTAGCTCACTGCTGCCCATCTAGGTGATGTGGAATGCATTAGCTGGAAATGCAGATGACTAACCTTCAGGAACTGCTCCTTCTGTTGCTCTTCAGTCCATCTCTTGTGCTGCTCCTTTCCAGGGACACTTCTCTGGAAATAACCATAGCATAGAGCTGCTGGGATAGCCACCCGTCAGCATCAGACCAGCAGTCAAAAACTGTAAATGATACCAGTCATCATTTTAGAAGTTGCAGTTTAAGAATTTGCCTTTTGGAACTCAAAAGTGTTGCTTTTGTTTTGCCTTTGTCAGGCCAATATGCATGGTAAATATATATTGTGTGCAAAAATGAATATTTAGCAGTATAATTTATCATAGTGTTAGAATATGTTAAGGGGTTGAAACTGCCCTTAGAGATCATCTAGTCCCCACTCCCTCTGCCCTGGGCAGGGAAACCTCCCACTAGACCAGGTTGCTCAAGGCCAACCTGGCCTTGAATACTGCCATGCTTCGGGCATCCACAATCTCCCCGGGCAGCCTGTGCCAGTGTCTCACCAACCTCACATTAAAAATCTTCTTCCTAATATCTAATCTAAGTTTCCCCTCTTTCAATTTATACCCACTACTCCTTGTTCTATCACTACAGTTCCTAACAGGGTCCCTCTCTGGCTTCCTTGTAGACCCCCCTCAGATACTGAAATGTTGCCATGGGGTCCCCATACAACCTCCTCCTCTCCAGGCTGAACAGCCTCAACTTTCTCAGCCTGTCTTTATAGAGAAGGTGCTCCAGTCCTCTTACCAGCTTTGTGTAGCTCCTCTGGCCTTGCTCCAACAGTTCCATGTCCTTGCATTGAGGACACTAGAACTGTACACGGTACTGCAGATGGGGTCTCACAAGAACAGTGTAGAGGGGGAGAATCCCCAACCTTGACCTGCTGGCCACACTCCTTTTGATACACCCCGGAATTCAGTTGGCTTTCTGGGCTGCAAGTGCACACTGCCAGCTCATGTTGAGTTTTTCATCAACTGCCACCCCGAAGTCCTTCTCCATAGGGCTGCTCTCAATGACTTCACCCAGCCTACAGTTGTGTCTGGGATTGCCATTGCCCAGGTGTAGGACCTTGCACTTTGCTTCATTGAACTTTGTGTGTTAGCATCAACCCACATCTCCAGCCTGTCTAGGTTCCTGTGGTTGACATCCCTTCCCTCCAGTGTGTCATCTGCCCCACACAGCAAACATCCTTTGCTGTAGGATTTCTTATATAAAATATTATTTGGATGCACTATTCCTCCAGCATTTTGCCCACTAGAAATCAGGCCTTTTTCTGACATTTTTCCTCCCATCTCTGTTTATGTTTTTCGTATGGAAATACATTTCGTTATGTATTGATGATTACTTTCCTCTTAAGTTACCTCTCTGCCTGACCTCCAGCCTTTCTCTGTTTTTATTGTCAGTTCATGGATGCTACGACTGTAGGATCGTGCTAACTGACCCCTCTGGAGTTTTCACTTCTCCGTGCTTCCCCAGTGATTATCCAAACAGCCAAGCGTGCAAGTGGATCATCCGAGCACCTCATGGATTTATCATACAGCTAACATTTATCGATTTTGATATTGAAGAAGCTCCAGGCTGCATTTATGATTCACTGACATTAGACAATGGAGAAAGCCCAATGAACCTTTGTGGCATCACTGCCAAAGGATTATCCTATAACTCTACTGGAAATGAAATGATTGTGTCATTTAAGAGTGACTTCAGTATCCAAAAGAAAGGTTTTAATGCCAGCTATGTACGAAGTAAGTAAATCCAAAGCATTTCATGCCTTTATAGATGTTAGAAGGAAATATCCTATAAGGATTAGAATGATACTTCTCAAAAGAATGAAGTCCTCTGTGAGAAGGGAAAAAGAAGAGAGGGGCTGCAGGATACAGGCAACAAGGTTCTCTTGTATGTTTTTATAACTTTTTATATTTCTTCTAATTAAAATTATTGTATTCTGGGACATGAATTGAAGTGTGTTAGAAAAACTTTTCACATGCAAAGATTTTAGGCCTAAAGGATTTGGAATCAGGACATCTGTCCTGCAGGTCAGCATACCTGCAGAGAGAGACATAGAAACCTAAAAGGGAATATGAGAAGGAACTTCGTTGAGCCAGACCTCTGGCCCAGTGAAACACCCAGTGGTGGGGAGAAGTTTGTGCAGAAAGCAGAACTTCTCAGAGTTCATCCAGCCTGTGCAGCAAACTCCCAGGGATAAACTGACATTGCTAAATGACTTCCTTTCATTCCAGTTCGTTGACCCTTTCCCTGCCTTAAACACATAGTAATTCTTAGGTTTTAAAAAGCCTAAAACTGCAAAAAAAATAAAAGGACACTCATGCTTTTTCTCCTAGAAGATAAGGGTACAAATAACTTCTGATTAGTGTTTGGTTTTTGTTTTAAAGCATTAATTAGGTGTTTCTCTTACAACTTGCCCAGTGAAGGGCAGCGAGGTAACAGAGGGCATTAGGACAGTCAGTGACAGGCCACATATGCGCCTCACTGTTCATTTCACTGCAGGGTTAGAGTTTCCAGTTACATGCTCTCAGTAGACTTCGTTGAAGTTGTACATCTTAAACTAAGCACTAATATTGCATTGAGCATTTATATGTCCTGCTGGTTGGCTGCTGTGAAAACACAGGGCAGGGAGGTTTGGTAATATTCTCTTGAGTCACAAGCACATCTTCTTCATGAGTATTTTAAAAGTACTTATTACATATATTGTATATTTGAAAATAGTTAAGATAGTAACCACCAGGAATCATAAAAGTAGGCATGATTTTGACAGCAAAAGTTATGTGCAGTTATGAAAAGAAAAAGTTAACATCACAAAGGAGCTAAAAATACTTCTTTCTGCTGAGGTCCTTTCATGCTGACAAAATGAATGTAGTAATAATTCTAGGAGCACCTGTTTTCTTCTGAAAGTGGAGGCAAATTTTCAGAAAATATTTGAAATATTTCTATTTGAAAATAGCAGCTCTTGCTCTATAGTAAGAAGTTGTAAAATCAAGTGGATCATAAAAAATTATATGCAGCCAGATGATGTAAAATGATTTATTTATTACTCAAGAATATTTAAATGTTTAAGTGTCATTATAAGGCAACTTAGAAGTGGAATTAAAAGATGCAATGTTGCCCTCAGCTGTGTTGAGTGAGGGGGAGAGGAAAGATCCACAGACAGTCAGAGAACCCTTTGTGTATGTATACCTACAGGTAATGTATTTTTATAAAAGCAAAAATATTACTTGCATGCCAGATTGAATAGTACCTTATGTTCATGGATAGCACTATTAAAGTTAAATAGTCTTGGAGGTATCCTTATATTTTGAAAAAGAATACTCTTCTGCAGTGTGAGTAAAAGTATCAGAGACCTTCACCAGTGACTTATATTTTAATGTTTCAGATATATATTAGTTCAGAAGCTCTATGTTAAGTTTTGCTGTTAAACATCGAGACTGAGGCCAATGAATTTGGTTTCATTACTCCAAATGTGTAACTTTAACCTGGCATCTTGATGTTGACCATGGGTGCCAGGAGAGCTGGCTGCATGCTTCTAGGGCAAATTATAACTATATTCTGCTTATTGCCCACAGTTGTGCAATTACTTTAGTTTCAGAAGATACTTACAGACAAAGATCATAGTAACCTAGACATGGATACAGAAAAGGGGCTTGGAAAAGAGATGTTAATATGCTGCTTTCCTTTCAAGTTATATAAGCACATGGACAATAGGACATCCAATGCACACAGACACTGAAATTACAACACATACACATGGCTGATGTCTGTGCAATGTTCTCCTGTCCTTGCAAAGAGTTCCCAAAGCCATCAGAAAGATTGCACACCCCCTCACTTCAGGGCCCCAGTCAAGTTTCAAAGCTCCTTTGTCAAGCTGACACCATTGTTAACCCTTACATTCTCCCAGAATGAGGGGAATAGTGTTATATTTTCTTCCATTTCTCAGAAATTACCATATGTAAATAGTAACATTAAGTAGTTTGTTCAATTTTGAGTTTCACTAAGTAACACAAAGTTGAAAAGTAAAGGGCCGTTCAAAAATACACTGCAGTTTGCTGTATAAAAATGTCATTTTACAAGGCATTAATGGTACATCCTAATATGCAATATATACACAAGACAAAATACGTGTTGGGAAAGACAGATATAACAGAGTAAGTGAGTTTTGGGAAGGAATTAGCTTGGGAATTGAACAGCTTTTGTTTGACTACTAGTTTTATGTAAGAACAGTTTCAAACTGAGTTTTACAGAGTGCATCCTATTATCCATGACAAGTTGGCTGCCCACACAAATGTTGACTTTCCTTGTTGTCACCTCCTGCAACACACTAACAGCAGATGGATGGACCACATCCTCAGCTGCACTAAATGCATGCAGCTTTGCCAGTTTTAGAGGAATTGTGCAAATTTACCCCAGCTGAAGAGCTGGCATGGTAAATAATTTTCTGGTAACAGTTAACTGCTTAAATAATAGCTCCACTAGTCACTAGAAGTCACTCAGTCACCAAAAGAGGTGGAAGGAGAGCCAACAGACCTCTGTTAAGACAGAAATGCTTGAGACAATGTCATGTAGAATTAGCACAAAGTTGAGTAGTATTGCAGTAGCCCAGATCAAAAGCATAGTTCACTGAGGTAGTAGCAAAACACTCTAAAACAGGTACTTGGTATGTAGACACTTGCAGACCTCATTAAAATTGACACATTTCTTCCAGCCTCTGGGAAGGGACAGATGAAGGCAGGGAAGCTAGGAACCGCAGAAGCCACTACTTGAGTACTGAACCATGCTGAAAAGCCCATCAGCTGGCAGAAAAGCAGTTTTCCCTGTAAGGGATTTTAAAATACAGTCTAGGGACCACTGGCTTGCTCATGCATAAAGGGGTGTATGAGATGTGAGAATGAGGTGCAAGCAAGCTAGACTATTGTGTGTTCTTCATGAGAAAATGGCAATGTGTCAAAAAACACCTGTTCCCACTGTAATCCAGTTATCTTCCTAAGAGAAAGAATTAACATCATTCTGAAAGTAGTCTAAAGATTAATATTTAAAGCATATATATATATGTATGTATATATTCTTCCTCAGAGAATAGCCAGTTTCTCCAATACTAGCATCTGATATTCATCATTGTGGTGACTGACTGCAACAGCAGTCAGGAAAGACGTCTGTGCTTAATGTTGTTGGAAGGATTCTGTTTTCTCCACGTGGACAAAATACATGTCAGTTTTGTCCCTTCAGTGCGTAGGGAAGTGCCAGTGGCTAAATCTGTCAGATGAATACAGCAAAGTTGAGTAGACTTCTTCAGTACGAGAGTAACGTCCTCGCTGTTTATTTGTCTTTCTATACTGTTTATATGTGACCAGGTGGTTCATAACTTTCCTGACCACACTAACACAGGCTAGATAGTGCTCATATGAGTAAGATTTCTTCTTCTTCATGTCTTGGATCCTTATACTTCTTCTGGAACACTTTCCGTGTTACGCAAAGGAGCTTACAGTATAATTAACCCACTAAAATAATGGCCCTGTTTTCAATGGAGAGTTGAACACATTTTCTATCTATAAAATTGTTACAACATAGTTTTTCCCTTGGGAAGAAAAATAAATGTATGAAGTAAATCCAGTAGCTATAAAAGCCCAGTATTTTTCTCTCTTCCCTCCCATTCTGCAGTTGCTGGGTTGGCGGATAACATGCAATGCTTTATGTTTTTTACTATATAATATATTGGTCAAATTATGTCCTCTTGTATAACCAAATATGGTAGTTTAGAGCTCAGAGTCTTTGCAAGCAGCTGGCAAAGGGAATTTGCTGTACCACAGACAACGCAGAATCCTTATACTCCATATATCTGTGTCTTTTCCTGAGTATGGTGTGACAGTCACCTTTCCCTCGTGTCTTACCCTCTCATATTGAAAGATTTTTATTTCATTCTGAAAACAGGTGTAGTAATTAGTGTAAGTGTTGTGACATCACTGAAAAATCCCAGAGACTAGGAGTTAACTACTATGGCAGTTATTCTTCCAGTGTAGCCAGAAACAGTTTCATTTCTAGTATGTACTCTGAAAATGTGTAAGAGGTAGCAGATATTTGCTGGAGATGTGGCCTGGCACAGAGCTGCAGAGCTGAGGGCTTCTACAGTCTGGTCTTGTTGACCACCTTTGCATGTGTGATAGCATGAAACTTCTTTCTGTGGAGAAATTTGCTGGAAGAATTTTGCTGCCATAAATGTGCCAGTAAAACTGAGCATATTGACATTTTATGTTGAACAATAATGTTCTCCAAAATAGAGTGAACAGAGTTGTCATTAATGTACCCATGGAGAAAAAGCATATATTGTGTGATACCTTTTTTCACATTTGGTGACTGCCATTTTGTTCATGCAAGTGAAAATACTTAATAGCCGTTAGAGACAGAGCAATTCTGCCTGTGCCTAAAAACCCTTACAAAAGTACATGTTTGCAGAAGAGCTAGCCATTTCTAGATACTTGTGCAAAATACAAACTGCTGGCCTGTTAGCAAATAGTGAACAGCTTAGATATGAATATTCATGAACATCCAATTGTAGTATTCAACCAGAAAGCTGCTGGGGACAAAATGAGAAGATGCCTAACGCTTTGCAGAAACCCATTAGCTGAATTCAGGAACAAAAGGCTTCAGTTTGCCAAGGAATGTAATGGGAGCTTTCTTCTATTGTGATATTTAAAAGAAGCAAGGCCTGAACTGGTATAATGGAGTCACGCAGAGAAGTAATTAATACATCTTAAAAGCACATCATACCGTGATACTGTGTTTTTCAAATAACTGGTTTATTCCATGACCTAATGCATCCTTACTAGATGAATGAGTAGTAATTTTTCTTAAGTGAGCTGAAGCAGAGTTGGAAGTTAGTAGGTAATATGTCCTAATATTGCTCTTGATCCACCTTGGGGGGGTGTTAACTATGTGTCACGCAGCATTCTCTGTGCCATTGAAAGGATATCTAAATATTTTCAGCTGAATGCACTGCCAAGTCAATTTCCCCTTAGTGTGTTCTATTGGTATATTACAGTGATAAAAACCACCTGATGAATGTTGCCTTAACCCCTGCTGCCAGTCTGCCTTTATTTCTATATGATGATTTTTTTTTTCTTAATTTACTTATCTGCTTTTGGTTCTAGTTGCTGTGTCTCTGAGGAATCAGAAGGTGATCATTCCCCAGGTCCCTGACGTGGATACTGTGTCTGTGGCAGGGACAGTCTCAGTGCCAGATCTTAGCCAGTTTACACTGTGCTTTGAAGCAACCAAGGACAGCAGCGATGACAGTGACGACTGGAAGGTTTTCTCCTACACTGATGCAGAGTCAATAGAATTCTTCAGCTTTGGGAAGACCACAAAAGGCCATTTTCTGTTCATCTCAGGCACACAGTGCATCCTTGAGAATGCATTGCCCCGAAATGCAGAGTTTTTCACAGGAACCTTTCAACAGCTCTGTGTTGTATGGAATAGCTTCTCGAGCACTATAGGTATATATGCCAAAAGCACCTATCGTACAGTGTACTGTCCGGGCGTCTTTGACAAAGTAATCCCTGGAAACGGGAGGCTGCTGCTGGGCTCTAACAGCAATGAAGTGAGCTCTCTAAATGGGGACATTTACAACTTCCGCCTCTGGAATTTCACCATGAATGCGCAAACACTGGCCAACCTTAGCTGCGATGTGAAAGGAAACATTGTAGACTGGGAAAATGAATTCTGGAGTATTCCAACTTCAGCACTGAAAGCAGAAAACAATTTGAGTTGTGGTGAGTACGCCTTGCCAAAACTTTTTTGCATATTTTCCCCCTACACTTCTGCATTGTGCTGAACATAATATATATCAGGATAAAAAAAAAAAGAGAGCATTCCTGTGAAAGAAAAATAGCTAGGACTTAACTTTCTTAGACTTAGACTTTCAACAGTGGCTTTGAAAGGGTCTAGAGTTGGTTCTCTGAAGGAAAAAAAATTTTCTCTGAGTATATTGAATTTGTTCCTGAGATGATCTGCAGATCAAAGTTTTTCCTCAACACTCCTTATTGGTTCATATGGAAGGGGGATAATGGAAGTACCTGTAGCCTCTAGCAAGATTACAGTGGTCTCTACATTAAAAAAAAGTATGTTAACTATCCAACTTCTAAATATTTTTGTACCTGCGCTTTGCTTAGCCAGAGAAGCACTCTGCAGTCTTTTACTGTGTGTGCAGAGCCAGCAAAAGCAGTGACAAAACGACAATGCATATGAGACAGGAAAGCAGGAGAAAATATTAAATTAGAGGAGACAGACAGGAAGGAAGTTTTAGATCAAAATCATCAGATTTTATCTTTCTGACAACATATGGTCAGTCCTTCTTTTCATTGGTAATTACTGAAGGTTGTTTTTCCTGTAGATTACTCCAGAAGATAAATTTCAATACATTGTCCAGCCTATTCTCATTTCATGGCTCAGACACTTGATTCTCATAAGTGTCCATGTGTATTTTTTGTCTATGTATGTTATTGCAGCTGGTTTTCAATTTTCTGCTGGAATACCTTTTCTCAGAAAAAAAAATTAAAGCTGAAAACGCTTTGTCATTTGGAATAATAATAATAATGGCAGCAATTTTAAAAGAATGTTTTGCATAATAACTTTAGAGATATTTGTATAATTATAAAATCATAGTGGAAAATTGGAACCATGTCCAGCAGCAGCCTATACACATATGTATGATGCCTGTAAAAATCAACTGCTATCAAGCTCCATGTCCACAGAGTTTGAGCCCTCCTACAGTAACAAATACACATTTGTTGACAAAAACAAAAGCCAAAAAGTCAAAGTAGACAGTTACAGATACTGCTTTTTTCTGTACTCCATGGGGTCGCTTCATATCTAATATTGTCCTTTCCAATTTTGCCACCTTGCTCCTCTGACACCTTACTACTTACTAATTTAAACTTAGTTTAAATAACGTCAATACAAGCTTCTCCTGACAGAGCATCTGTCAGCACTCTAAGAGTCTTTAGTTACAGCAGAAGCTGGCACCGTTAAGGCATGCTAGTTTCTGTATCTAATAGCTCATGAGGGATTAAGGTGGATAAAAAAGCTATCTTGCTTGCTTAAGTTTACTCAAACCAAAGAGTGAGATACTCATTCACAGCTAGACTCACTGAGATAGCTCTCAGCATGCCTCTGCTAAAAAAAAAGTAAGCTATAAAACCACAAGCAGCCTGGTGCCTTCACCCTTCTGCCAGACCAAAGAAAAGGCTGATCGGACCACGATAGATGAAGACGTTCTGGACAAAAATGTTGTTTCTATGTCATCAGTACAAACTGATCTGATAGAGAATAACTTTCCAGAAAATCTTACTCTTCTTATACTGGTATAATGTGAAGACTGCTGTAACACTTTAACTGAATAACCTACCAAGACCTCTATAAAAGCTGCAGTCTCATTTAATTTTGACTGGTGTAAGGGTCTTGTTCATCTTTCTATTACAGACTGTACAGCTCTGTGACACAAATGTAATATCATAGCTGTGGTCATAGAAACAGTAGACTTATTTTCATTCCACAGCTTTATTCCTTGGGATGTCAGTGTTCAGCAGTTTTCTTACAGCAGAACATTGTTTTAGAAAAAGTGTATTAGTGTTCATATGTTACTCAGTCTTTTTATTTCTTAGATGTTAAATCACCCTTTGTGATAAAGGCTTTCCTGAACCAGAGTATTTCCTAAAAGAAAATACTGGGTGCAGTGCCATTTCAAAGATGGTTACTAATCCCAGCGATGAAATTGTTAGCATTTTCTTCCCTTCCTCTTCTCAAGTAAAAGCCTTCTTTGTAAAACCAGCCTTCAACAGGAGAGTTGATGAGTCAGGCTATCAACCATGAATAAACCACTGACATTGGGGAGCTGACTCTTAACTGATTAGGCTTCATTTCACAGCAGTGGAAGGATTTATGCAGAAAAGAGGTTTTCACACAGCTCCAATAATGCTTCACCAGGCAGTGGCACGTAGCTAAAAAAAACCCAACAAACCAAGCATTTAGCAGTGATCTCAGCATATCTGTGACTGAACAGTGCTTACATTTTTCAAGGGGTATTATTTTCATGGTTTTTCAGACAAAGCTTTTCCAATTGGATTTATGGAGCATAAAAACACTGGCAAATTGTTTCAGATAATTTTTTCAAAGTTTTACCTTTTACTAGCTTCTTCCTTACACTAATGTTTTCACAGCTGTGCAGTCAAGATGGGGTGTTTGTGTAAGACTTGATAGAATTCTGTTTTTATTGCCATACCTTGGCTTGGATTGCATTTAAAAGGTGGGGTGTTTGTGTAAGACTTGACAGAATTCTGGTTTTATTGCCATACCTTGGCTTGGATTGCATTTAAAAGTATATATACACACCCTGAGTATCCAGACTAATTTTAAAACAAGTCGCCTGGGTAATGATAGCACTGCTTGTATCATTCTTGAACATCAGTTCAGGGTTCAGTGCAGGCAAACTGAAGAGTTTGAAAGAGAAAGAGATACTTTAATTAACTTCTGTTTCTGATTTTGAAGCCTGCACTGGTTACACCTACAGCAGGTTATGATCTACTCAGTTTAAGGGTAATGTGGCCACGTCTGTCTTGCCTCAATTACGTTTGTTTTATGTGCATTTCATATAAGTCCTCCAAAGGCCAAAGGAATTTCTAATTTCACTGTCAGATTTAACTCAGCATGGGATCTATCTGCCTTAGGCATCTGAACAATGTTTCAGGCTGAGGTAATTGCCCCCCAGTGCTGTTTATGAATAGTGAAATCAAAAAAGGGTATTCCACAGGTCAGTGCGTCTCATATTGGAGAAGATGTTTTAGTGAAGTCAGAAGTTTTTTGCTGTAGGAATGACTGTTCCTCTCCACTGACTATGAAGAAAATCAAGCATGACAAGCAGATCTGGATGTCTAAGTTTTAGATATTTGGAGTGAGATATATCAAACAAAGTGTCCATCATATAGATCCATGAGGTCACAAGTCCTGTCAGCAAACCTGCTCCAGACTAGGCTTGTCCTGCCAGGAGACTGCTCCAGTGTGTGCTTCCCATGAGGTCACAGGTTCCTTCAGGCATCCACCTGCTCCAACATGGACAAGCAGATCTGGATGTCTAAGTTTTAGATATTTGGAGTGAGATATATCAAACAAAGTGTCCATCATATAGATCCATGAGGTCACAAGTCCTGTCAGCAAACCTGCTCCAGACTAGGCTTGTCCTGCCAGGAGACTGCTCCAGTGTGTGCTTCCCATGAGGTCACAGGTTCCTTCAGGCATCCACCTGCTCCAACATGGGCTTCTCTTCTCGCTTTAGGTGGATATCTGCTCCACCATGGACCTCCAAGGACCTCCATGAGACAGCCTGCCTTACCATGGTTTTCACCACAGGCTGCAGGGAATCTCTGCTCCGATGCCTGGAGTACCTCCTCCAACTCCTTCTTCATTCATCCTGGTGTCTACAGGGCTGTAGCTCTCACACATTCTCACTCCTCTCTTGGCTGCAATTGCTGCTGTGCACTAACTTTTCCCCCTTCTTAAATCTGTTATCCTTGAGGCACTGCCACTGTTGCTGATGGGCTTGGCCTTGTCCAGTGGCAGGTCCATCTTGGAGCTATCTGGCTTTGACTCCATCGGACATAGGGGAAGCTTCTAGCAGCTTCTCAGAGAACCACTCCTGTAAGCCCCTTGCTCCCAAACCCTTGTCATGCAAAGTCAATAGAACAGTCTTCTGACTTAAATGTTTTCTAAAGTTGGATTGAATTTTTTTATTTTCACCAAATAAAATCACAGTCTTTTTAAAAAATACATTAAATACATATATTTTTAAAATTAAATATAAATGCCCACAGAATTTCCAACCAACTCTCAGGTTCTTTCAGTGATACAAAGCAGAGATTAGACTTAAGGTAGATTTTGATATTTACTGTTTAATATTATCAAATTTATTTTGGGGAAAAAAACAAACCCTCATGTAACAGGTTGTACATTCACTTAGATCATGCTTCCTGGACTTCATAGGAAGTGTACCAAGGAATTGCATTTGCCTCTATCTCTTAATCCATTAAAAAAATAATTGCTGAGCTTTAATATTTGAGGGTATTTTTAATTCTGCCTTATATTTGTAGGCCATACATACAGTGGTATCTGTGGCATGATATGATTTCTGTGTCAAGGTTCCATGCTTCATTTGTTCTTGCATCACAGGAAGTATTTTCCTAGCTATTTTTACAAGTTGATGGATGTTGGCTATTTAATTTTGTGGAAGGATAGTGTTTCTTGAGAGAACCTCATTGAGTCAATATGATTCTATGATTCAACCTCATCGAGTCAATATGATTCTAGTGGTAAAGCAAAACCCAAAAGAGCAGCACTCCCAGTAGGTTCACATTTTGCCAGTGCTCTATAGTCCTATTAATTTCAACACAGTGTGCAAAGGCAGCTGTATCTGCAGCTGAACCTCTGGGATGCACAAAGTGTAATTAATGCAGTTACACCAGTTTTCTGTAGCCATTCTTAGGTGCCTTGTTTTTGCCTCCAGATGATCAAAGTGTGTGCTTGTTATGAATAATTCTGTAGAGATACAGAGTTATAACATTATCTGTTTATAAATCATGCATACCAGAATATTAATCACACCCACACCCTGGGCAGAGGACAAGTTTAATCACCTTTTCTGGCTGGTGTCTGTCACAGGCAGATTACTCAGAAGTGTGTGGTTGGTAACCTGTGCTACAGCACCAGCGCATGGTTGCTCCTCCAAGGCACGCACTACTTCTCACAAAGATTGCATAAATCTTGTGGCCCTAGTGACCCCTTTGCTTAAATCCATTTCACAGAGTACCTGCAAGCTGCATTCCTGTAATGCTATGTTGTTTAGTCACAGCTGAAAAGACCACGGAAGGATACATAAGTGACTGGAACTTGCAAGTACGGGAGTTTTCAAGGATCCCTCAGCTGCAACAGAAAATGAAAACACATAAGTCTTATAGGCAAATGGCAGTGTCAGTTTTGCCACTGAGAGAAATTAAGAAGAGGACTGTCACTGCACGATGTAGTGTATTTCCAAACATGATAGCTTTATGCCCAATAGCCAACCATTTCTAAATATTTTGCTTTCTTCTTTTAAAGGCTCATACCTAATTCCCTCTTCTTCAATTGAACCAACCAGTTGTGCAAACCTAGGAAGCCTTTGCCAAGGTAAGAAGCTGAGGTCCTTTTCACAGTTTTGTCTTTGGGAAATCTTTATTCTCCTGTTTTTTTTCAAATTCCATTTCTTTTTGATTACTCTTTCTAAAATGTTGAACAGCAGTAAAAAATAGCAAGGAAAGGAATTCTTTAGTCTCATCTAGTGTGTTGGTGTCCTGTACATAAAATTTGTGTAAAAAATGTGATAATTCCCTTGATAATACATTTTCCAAGTAGTCTCCATTTTATCAAAACTGAATGAATCAACAGCTTTCATTTCTTTCTCCACCTCTTTTCTTCCTGCACATTTTGACAGTAAAAAAATTAACCAGTATAAGAAGTGGCTATGTCTGTAAATAAAAAATGAGCATATGTAAATAAAGGAACTGGCTATTATTCAGGTTTTTTTTTCCAGTAAGCTGTTTTGAGGCTAGATACTTTGAGATTAGCACGTAAAAATTGACAGCAAACAGCAAAATCCAGCAGCTATTAGTTAATGAAACACATGCTGCAGCACTTAGTGATGGTTTAATAGTGTAAAAATCACTATGTATAGAAATTCATTAGGTGTCTAAAGATTGGTGCAGTTGAATGCAAGGAATGGTTGAACCCTAAAGATTTCCACGTCATGTGGATGTGCAAAGATGGTTAATTTGCTCTGTTCTGCTTAGATGCTGAAGTTCCATAAAAAAATGCTCAGCATGAGCAACATCAACCCATTTCCACAATCCCTTCATGAACACATATCTGGTAATGCATTGGCATGCTATGTTAAATTTTAATCACAACAGCGACTACACCAATAATGTCTAGCTCTGTAACCCTTTTCAAGCTGAATGGCGGAAAAAGGAGACAGGAGACAATAGAATATAAAAGGGTATGAGGAAGTCTCACAACTCTTTCAAAATGAGCATTTACAAGTAAATCAGATTTAGCTTAAAAAATAAAAGGGAAAATGCACTCTGCTTAGGAAGCCAGTAAGAGGTCTGTGTCAGTCTTCAGTGTACATTTCCCAGATTTTCCTGAGGTAAATTTGGTTCAGATTCTTGGAGCATATTGTACTGGTCTCCACAGAGAAAGTAAGATGTCATTAATGTCCATAACCAGATTTCAAACAGTAATTTTCAGGTGTCATATTCACAAAGCACAGTATGATCTAAATACTACCACTCAAATACCATGGGTAATTGAGGCATCCATAATTATTCAGTATTAGTCTTTTTTATATGTAAAGGGTAATACAGCCACCATACAAATAACTGTATATTCTCTGAGTGTTTTCCTTTATCAAAATGCCATAGTGTGAAAGGAGAGAGAATGTCTTTTATTATGTCAGCTAATATGGCTGCAGAAATGGACACACTTTCAGCAAAACAAGCCTGCTTTTCTGAAAGCCTCATCCTTTTTTCCAGCTTTATTAACTTGTCTAGTAGAAGATATTGCCCCTAATAAAAGATGCTGCTTTCAAACTTGCCTCTCTTAGCTTCTTAACCCATCACATCTTCACTAAAGGCTACAAGTATTTTCATGAAGGTAATAGTCTTTCCTTCTCTTAAAAGTGCTTGGTAAAGTGTCCCTTGTGTTCAGTTTGTCACTTTGGAATAAGATGCCACATGAGATTTACCCCATTCATCACCATCATCATATTGTCATAATAACAAAAATCATATAAAGATGTCTGTCTGTCTATTTCTGTGAACATCGCAGACTGACTGTAAGCTGAGAGGCCAGTTTGGATTCCACTTTTGTTTGCTTGTTGTGTGCTGTGCAATAACACTAGTAAAAAAGTTCGTGAATGACAGATTATGTCAGCTACAATCTGATGAAAGAGTTGTTTTATCCATTATGTTGAGTAAATATTTTGATTCATTAGAAGATGCCTCCTTTAACAGCATTGGCTGGAAGATACAATCCATAAGAAGCCTTACAACTTGTTTCTCAGACAATACAGCCCTGAAGTTTCATGGAAGAACAGCTGTTTTTGTATTATAGGGTGTCACTTTATATGCTCTCTTTCCCAGTTAGAACCAGTTTCCTGCAGTGTCTAACTTTTCCTTCTCTACTTTCCCTAATTTTCTTGCTAAAACCTGAGCATGAACCTGCTCCCTAGGCAGTGACTTGAATTTGTGACTTTTGAACTCAAAAGGTTAGGTAAATCAAGCTAACAAAAAATCAGGCTTAAGCTTTCCTGGTTGATTCTTGATCAAAATCTTCCAAAGCAATGTAACGCTGTGAGATTTTACTTCACCAACCTTCAGATTTTAAATAGGGTTTTCAGGAAAAAAACCTGAGCATGAACCTGCTCCCTAGGCAGTGACTTGAATTTGTGACTTTTGAACTCAAAAGGTTAGGTAAATCAAGCTAACAAAAAATCAGGCTTAAGCTTTCCTGGTTGATTCTTGATCAAAATCTTCCAAAGCAATGTAACGCTGTGAGATTTTACTTCACCAACCTTCAGATTTTAAATAGGGTTTTCAGGAAAAAAGAAGAAAACTGTCAGTGAGTGGATTTGCATTCCCTGGGAGTTACTAGACAAAATGAATTTATTTTCCAAACCATTATTAGAAAATTTAATGGTATGATCTTTGAAATCATCTAGCAGATATACCCTCCCTGGGTCCACTGGGGGGGAAATTTGCAGTTTTGGCTCCTCCCTCTGATTTTGAAAAGTGTTCAGCTGGATCTCCAGGATTGTGTGGGGTGACTCCTATTGGTGTCAGTGGGAACAGTACAGCCAAGCTCCTACATGAAGCTTTCAAAATATATATTCCACTTCACCTATTCCAAGTCTGATTTCAGTTCTCTTCACTGGAGTTCAGTGGAGTTAATTGGATCCTTACGTGGGTGTTTTTGTTTCACATTTGTCTGCCATATTCAGTCCTTGAATAGGGACAGTGATTCTTTTCACAAGCAATATTCTAAGGGCATGCATCTTAGAACTTAAAAGATCCATTTTCTGTTCTTTGCACAGCTGTTTGGATCTGAAGCTCTCAAAAGAGAATTTTGAGTTTATGAAAGCAGTACAGGATTGATCTTGCAAACTTGACACTGGCAAAACTTCCGCTGAAGTCAGTGAAAGTGAAGATTGCAGGATTAGACCCTCAGTTCATATCCATTCATCACTTTGTGCAGAAACAATAGTGTTTATTGAGCATATATGGTGTTGTGTATAGATGGTTTCATTTTACATTGTCATGTATTGTTCCCATTTTGTCTTACCTTATTAACATTCATATTTCATTCAAGTTCACCTCTTTCTCATCTTTATTACCAGCTACTGTAAATGTTTCTACTACTACACCACCCACTGTCACCACTAACATGCCCGATACTAATAGAAACGATAAGCCAAACAATGGTAAGAAATCCTGTGTTACATTTTTCCTTTACTTGTCTAGAGCAAATTTATTGTATTTTAAGGTGTGTTTTTCGTGCTATCATAATGTCAGGGGTCATGTCTCAGTTCTGATCTCATTTACACAGAAATAAATCAGAACTGTCTTCACTGGACCCACGTAAGAATGGTGCAAATGAGAACAGAACCAAACTCAGTGTTACTTGTATCATGTTTGGCTGGCTCTTGTCTGAAAGGGACTAACGCTGTGCCACCCCTTGTATTTACCCATGCAAAGAACAAGGGAAGGGAGAGTGATTTTTAAAAAGAACCATGCTATTGAAATGTTTCAAGGCTGCAGATTGTGAGGTATTGTGTAGGTCCTGCTTGTGCAGCCAGGGTGCTAGTATGCTGGGGTTGTCTGTTCTTTACTAGTCAGACACAGGAGCCAAGTGGAACGATTCCTGTGGAGCAAAGCCACTTCCACTGAGTCAACAGGAATCTTTCCACTGACTTCAAGAAGAGCTGGATCAGACTTTACTAGGGAAAATGTTGACAGTATCAGATAACGTTTACTTTTCATTTAGCAAGATTAAGGGGAAAAATAAGGTAGTAAATGAGCCTATTATTAGCACAGGAAAAAAGCCTGGATTTCTTTTGAGGTTTTCTCAAGTTCTATGATATCACTGTCTCCTAAAGACTGAGCATCATTGTGTGAGTCACTGCTAAAATATTTATTAGTTTGTTAAAGATGTTTATTAAACATTATTAACAACACAGAGATAGATTTCTGCAATTTTCGTCTGAGGTTTAAAATTATATTTTTTGAAAGATTTATTTTTTCAGTGCGTCCACAGAAATAAATTAGAATGTGAATGTTTTTTTGGTGGTATGTTTTGGGTTTTTTCCCCCAATGCATCAGCTGTAGGATTTAAAACTCTTGAAGTATTTTTTTTTCTTGGCAGATGATTTATTGTACATTGGCAATCAGGCAGTACAGTACACAGTGTGAAAGAATTTATCTGAATCCAAACAGTTTGGATATACTAGGATGTAGAAGTAAGGAGAAAATATTTTTGTGGAGCCACTCACCCTATATTCACCATGAGCATAGAAGCATCAAGCTTGGAAGAGATCTGTAAGATCATGGAGTCCAACAATTAGTCTGTCAGTCTGATGTAACTCTTAAACTCTAAACCATATACTCCAGTGCCAGATCCAGACACTTCTTAAACACTTCCAGGGATGGTAACTCCACCATCTTCCTGGGCAATCTGTTCCTGTGCCTGACCACCCTAACAGTGAACAAATTTTTCCTAACATCTAATCTGGATCTCCCCTGTCTCAGCTTATGGCCGTTCCCTCTATTCCTCTCATTGCAGGCATGGCAGAAGAGACCATCCTCCACTAGAGCAGTTAACTCTGATTTTTAGTCCCCCAATCAGAGCAGTTAACTTTGATTTTTTTTAATGATAGAAGGAACTGAATCTTATTATTGTTAGTTCAAATTAAAATTATACAATTAAGTCCTTTCTTTGGCTTTGAAACTCCCAAGAGACAGGAGAAAGACTAAGAAAATAAGCCAAATTCACTTACGGTAGAAGCAAGTTAAACTTTCATTCAGCTAACTGGCGTCATTTTCCACTCTTGGTAAGTCGACTTTTAAGCTGAGAGCAGACAGCCAAGAACAGACAGTTAAGTTGCATATATTTTCTTTAATCCATTAACTATGTGGCTTACTACACACAGACCTGCAGGAATTCAGACTTCCTGCTACGGTTATCTTCAGAATGAAGAGAAATTCACCTGAATCCTCCCATTCACGACCACAGTGGCAGCAAGAGTCTAAGATAGAAGGGGTCAAAAACATAGGAATTATCTCAACCCCAATTATTTGGCCAGTGAAACAAAGGCCTCTGCATTTCAGTAAAAACTCAGCAGATGAGAACCCAGAGAGAAAAAACACATACAGCTTGTTGCTTCCAACCATGTCCTCCTCATCTGCTTCTGAGGACACCAGCAATGAAACCTTGGCTGCTTTTACAGAAAACATCAACCTAAATAATACTATGATGGATCAGCTGCAAAATGAAAATATTTTTAATTATTCTGGAAGTTCATTTCATGGCACTTCTGATGCAGCAGATGCTGTTACAGAGCCTTCTGTGAATGCAGCAGTTCCTGTTCTTCACAGCAGAAGTCCTAAGGCAGATCTTGCATGGACTTTGGCAAATGGGCTAGGTCATTCTGGCTCTGAGCCAGCATGCCACTCTCCCGTTAGCAGCAGCAGCACTGCTTACGAACCCATCAAAGAAACTGTGTGGATTTCATCCTCCAACAGCGACACAACCAATTTCATGCATACAAACATCTTGGAGCCCGTGAACTGGTGGAATGAGACTGTATTTCATCATCATATTACCTCTGACCTTCCAGAAGATAGACATAATTCTCTTTCTACTTTATCTATGTCATTTACAGAGGAGAAATCACCATTACAAAAAAGTAGGCTAGATTTGCTAGACTTGGCACCTGAAAATTTTTACCTGGAAATGGTAGAAGGCAATGCTGATAGGCAAACTTCTTCTATGTTAGCAGCAGACAGTGAATTTCAGTTTAGAAAATCTACACACATTAAGGAACATCACTCAGGAGGCATAACAAATTTAACCTCTATGGAGACTCCATATGCAAACCCAACAAGTTTTTTTCAAAACATGAAAAAACCCTACACAAAATTTATGTCTGACATCCAACTGACAAATTCAGTACTAGGACACAGTAGAGAGCTACTAACATTTTCAGCATTTCTGCTAAGACCAGGTTGGACAAGCGCAGCATTTAAGCATATTGTAACAACCCTATCTATTTATCAACAAGCATTGACTGACACACCCTTGAAAAGTGACAGCATGTTTATATCTAATAGTAATTACTGGTCTCATTACTTACAACATTCGTTTTATATTCAAAAGCCAAGTGAGACCCTCAGAAATGGAGTACTGGATAAATACTTAGATTCATTTCATGATACTAATGAAAATGAAGAGATAGCCTTTTCCATATTAGAGCCAGAGAACATGAATACAATTGGCAACTCCTGGGACTCAGGTTACTTGGATTTTCCAACAAAATATGTAGATATCTCCCCCTCTGTAAGAGCAAGTTTCTGGACTGTTCCGCATCATTTGAAAGAAGCATCTCAAGTGTTTTCTGGGGAGCCATCAGAAAATTGGTGGTTCTCATTTAATAAACTGATTTCTTCCCCAACAGACAGACTGCTGTCCGTTAGTTCATATGCTAAGTCTGACAGTATCTCTGAAAAACCATCTACCATTAGATTATTAGGTCACAGAGCTGAAGAAATGAATTTATCTAGTCCTGTATCAGCTTTGAAAACACAAATCTTTAGTTCATTTATTCCAGACATTTCAGAGAGAATTTCAGAAAGTAATGGCAGGACAATATCACAATTGCAGTCAACAATTAACTTTGCAAACCTAACTGTGACTTCAAACAGTGAACCTTATTTTGACTTTCCTTTCCCTTCCTTCGAAGCACCTTTCAGTCAATCCTCTGTGTGGGTACAGGTAAGTCCTTTTGATCAGGTACTTCAAAACTCCACAGAAAAATTAATATTTGATAGTTTGCACATGCAAATTCAAACTGACATAGTAAGTGACCAAACCAACATGAGCTTCCTAAACAGTAATCATCAGCTTGTTTCTGCCCTGCCAACACATTCAGGAGCTCAGCCTTCTTGTTCAAGGAATAGCAAAGCTGCTTTCTTGATCAGTACACCAGTTAAGAGTTTGGTAAGCAGTACAAGAACACATGGAACACCACAGTCTCAAAGTCTTTTGGAGAATGATGCTGTAACAAATACCATTTATAAAGCAAGAAGTAAAGTTCAAATAGATGCAGGCGTTTTTGTAAAAAGCATCAGTTCAGTGAGTTCTGACTTCCTTCCAATGACATTGCCTTTGGAATTAAGGCACCTTCTTCATTCAGACTCAAAATTCAGAGTTAGTGTACCTCCTAACAGCTATTCCACACCTCCACTCCCAGAAAGTTTTCAGAACCATCTTGATGCAACTTCTCCAAGCCTGATGCCTCAGTGGGATGTAGCAGAGTTAGGCTTGCCAACAACAGTAACATTGAGAAGTTATCTAACTGTTTTAGGACGAAACTCCATTGAAAATCAAGTTGACAGTCTAAGATCCTCTCCATGGGCAGTGGAACAAGAAATCATTGACAGTAATGAAGATGTAAGGAATTTTGCTGTTCTGACATCAACAACCATATTGAGGCTTTCCGAATGGGATTCAGAAGGGGAAGTGTATGGGTCCTTCAGCAAGCACAGAGAAGACATTCCTTCTCTGAATATTGCTAGTACTCATGCCTCGGATTTTGTAAATGCTGATTATGATGAACGTTTTGCAAATCTCTCGTCTTTTTTGGAGTCATCGAAAACTGCAATAATTAATGATGCCTTACCTTTGCCATCTTCATATAGCAGAGTTGTTATTCAACACAAAGACACCATCTTGTCAAACACTCTGACAACATCTGCAGCAGCCATCTATCACTCTGTCATGCAGTCCCAAACGCCATTTTCTTCTGTAACATACCATCAGTCATCATTTTCAGCACGTGTTCATTCCTTGGCCGATTTGCCATCTGGGACAAGCCAAAATACCACCACTTACTCGCCACTGAATCAACTTACTAGCTCTGCTGCAGTCCTTTTATCTTGTTTATGTGACTCCATCACTGAGCTGGACTGCTTGTGTCGACCTGAGGTCAACCACAGTATGTCAAGCCATTAAGTTAGATATAGAAAAAACCCAGATAGTCTTGTCGATTAGATACTCAGTTTGTAGACTGAAAATAGAAGTAGTTGTCTTTCATCCTTTAGATATAGGTCCATTTAGATATGTAGGTGTTTTGGAATAATAGTTTAATTACAGTAGAAGAGAATTTGTAGCATTTTAGTGACAGTAAATGTCATTAATGTGTGCTTTCTAATATTTGTGTACTTCTCTTAAGACAGCTCTCACGAGACTGTGAGGATATTATATTGGGTATTTTATATAATTGTATATAATTCTATTGTGTGTGGTTGTATGAATGTTTTTTTCACTTAAAGTATTCATAGATTTTTGAGGATTTCACTTTAAAAAAATAAATATTTTTTCAAAAGAAATTTTTGGATAGTTTGCAGAACAGAATTTTAAGTAATACTAGTATTTAATTGATTTTACTATTTTTAATATTTTACACTGCAGTCTCCTGAGAGTGTTTTAAAATGTAGATTAGTTGTTTGTTCTTATTCTTTTTTTGTCTCATTAAAACATGCTTTGGGTCACCATCTGGTGGAGATCTTGAAGCTATTGACTAGTTTGTAGTTACTATGTTTGATTGTAAAAATACTTTGCATATTCCTATATTAAGGTGATTTTTTCCATATACGTAATTATCTAAATAAGGTTATAGTCATATATATATAATTGTATACAATTTCTGTATATGTGTATAGCACACTTAAAAGGTATG